AGTCAGTTCAGTTAATAGTAACGAAAAATAATAAAGACACTTCACATAAAATAACTTAAACAATTATTGCGGATGAAATCCTCTTCGACCTGAGTTATTAACCCAATTCATTGTTTTATTCTCTGGAGAAAATTCCATTCAAACAGTGTCATGTACGCCAAAATTGAACCAGCCCGATTTAAATCTACAAGGTATAACTCCGTCCTCCCTCGATGCGTCATGTTATACATGCAGCTGGAAAATCTAGGAAAGATTCTCGACCCTGTCACGTTTGTCATAGAAATCAGATTACAATTATTGATCACTTGCATTATGTAAGAGCCTTATGTCTCCCTGCAAACAAGATTACTAACGCAAGTATCCGCTTTACAACGTAAGGCTTCTAAATGTGCTTAACAAAGTTAATTATTATTTGAAAGAGATAAAAACTCAAAATTACGCCTGTATCTGAGACTCAATCTATAATCCTCGTGTGTGGTTGAATTTATTTTTGGATGACTGTTTTTAGAAAATGATTAATTACGTAACCGGTTTCCAACATCATTAAATTCAATTTTTAATACTTTATACAAATTTAAAAAAATAAAATTATCATCATATCACAGCGCCATTGATCCGCTTAACATAATTCTCAAAATAAAAACAAATATTTTAGGCAAAGCATTTGTTCTCAGACTTATAATAATACTCGAAGATATTCCAAATTTTATAATATTAATAACAAAGTAAGTAAACAAACGATAGCAACCTCGTAAATAAACATAAACAAGATGATTCAAGCGTAACACTGAATCTTCAACGAGGGCGTTGAGTTTGGAAGAAATTCTAGTGCGGGCGATATTTCAAGCGCTCTATACAAATAATGAAACTCAAGATAACGAGATGCACACAATAGTCACAGAGCTACGGAGTAGTCTGTTGACACAATACATAAGGAGCGCCACTTTCAGCAATACGATTTTCATTCTCTATTTTCATGTTCACCAATTTGATTTTACGCCGTGAACCGGAAAGGCAACAGAGTTAGGACTTAACGACTACGTACCTGTACCCACACATGTATTTTTAAACTAGGAATCTTTTTTTATGTAAACATTTATGCATACATTAGTAAATTGCTGAAATTAAATAATAAGTTGCAATTTTTATTACCTTAATCTTTGCTATCTGTTGCGTTTAATGCTGAGATTGAATTACCAGGCTCAAAATTTAACATAGCTCGATTTTTCAATATTCGCCTTAGAATTGTATTTTACCGACCACCTATTTTATATGAATACGTTTATGAAAATGTTCTAGTCTCACATCCATTTTGAAATTGTTTACAAAAAATTGTATCATGCCTCGTGTCTAGTGCCAGCAAATGCGTTCAGTGTAAGTCATTTAATTAAAACAAAACTAAAAAGACAAAACTCATATTAACACAACAGCACTGTAATTATTAAATCACTTACACTTACTAACGGTAATCTGTGATGATAATAAAATACATTTAATAACAATAAACATCAGAAACGATTGTTTACATCATTTGTCAGTTATCAAATGCATCACTATCACACAGGTTTCTGCACTAATTGTATTTGATCACGTTTAATTCATGTTTTGTTCATCTTGATGTTTCTCTCTTTTTGCATCGATAAAGAAAAAATCAAATGTACCACGCGGTGTCGACGGTAATGGCAATGAGGTAACTGTGCCCCGTAGGTGTGAGCCTATGTATGTACATGTTTCATTTTGTCCAGATGTTGGAACTATCGCTCATCCTTTGACACGTAGAAAATATCCTAAATAGCATGTTGATATTATTTATGCTTGTACACAAACAATACCTACTTATGTTAGTGACAGTAACTTTTCACCAGCTTTTAGATAAAACAAACACTTCCGTCAGGTCTCGCTGCGCTTGGAATCCTTAAGTCCTTTCAGCTTTGAATTAAGTTTGCAATAAAAATTAATATCAGTGTGCTTGCTTTATTTCAGTCTGATTCAATGTTAATTGATTCAATTGATAGTGTAATTTGTATAAAAGATAGTTCGTGTTTAAAGCAATCCTCAAGGCGAAGGAAAGTCATTACGGAACAGTTCATTAGTAGTTGTGCGGTGTCGACGAGGGACTGATTACCGACTACCTCGTAGACTGATTCACGAACTGTCTCCCCTTGACCTTGGACGTCACCGGTCGATATCCATGACGTACAAAAATTATAATATGACAGCCCACATACAGAATTAATAAATTTCATTGTGCTGGTCTTGTTGGAGGCTAAACTTCATTGAAAGTTGATTAAGCCTGAATAAAAAATTAGACTGAAAACCCTTTGATTTTTTTACAAACAATTGGTAAATTAGTAAGGTCCTTACGTAAATGTGTAAAAAATTAAGCATGTAGAAAGCTAGAAAAACTGTATTAGAATTTAATACTGAACTTTCAGCTAACTTGGTGCAATCTCTGAAATGGACTAAAGCATTCGAACATTAGTGTGCAAATGTGAACTGTTTTCTAGGAGGAATGGAGCGGCAAGAGACGCAATGCGCGCCGGCGGAGACTCCGAGGCACATAACTTTCAAGAATACACATACAAGAAAATCACGCCTTGCGATGTTTGCTCACAAGTGCTACGAGGTAAGAACGTATATTTTTTTTTTAAGTAACATACTAGAAAAGCTCCTTTAGTTCAATGTAATTATGAAACATTTTTGCAGCAACGTAGAACGTATATTTTATACCAAAAAGACGATTCCCTGTTCATTAGCAAATGGGACTGTAAATAAATATTACATGTTATACAAAATGCTAAAATAATCACACTAATTAAACCGAGGCATATTGTTGACAGTAAATGGTTGTAAGTATTCTCTGGGTAGTTAGAATGACACGCCCAAACGGTATTTTGAATTATTAAATTTATGCCTCCAAACAAATGTATGTGTGGCCTAATATTTGAAGCCACTGGTCTGTGAGACCAATGTCATATTGCAAATTGTTTTTATTGGATTTATAAATTGGAAAGCAAACTGAATCGAACGTGAACCCAATTACGAGAAAGCAAAGCCATTAGTGAGGGTACACGTGATAAGCCAATGCAGCTTTAGCTGAGAGTTGAATTAAACATGAATACCAACACCGGCTCTTATATGGCCTTAATAATTGAAATATATCTACCTACATAAATCTAAATCTCCGTTGAATATTCCCAAAGTATCTGTTTGTTTCTCATACAAAACACAACAATAACTTCTTCAGGTTTACAATTACTGCTTCGATGTAGTTGAATCTATGAGTAAAGGGTTTATTATCTAGACACACAACCCATGTGCCAGACACAGATGGTGTTTCTGAAATTGGAGTGTCTTTACAAAACGTTTAGTATAGAACATGTCTGTCTTATTAACTATTTATGGTAAATGAGTTAATTACATAAATATCGTCAACTCTGCTTTTATGTAGCAGCCTATAATGTGTCCTATTGTCTTGATATATACTAAAAACAATATGAGCAATTCTGTAGCCATTTTGAAATGAACAAAAATAACTCGAACCACGTGCAGTAATTGCCAACGGAGGGTTGTGACATTTATTTGTCTAACGGTCGTTTTCATTACAACGTGACTTAGGTAACGCTGAAGGTTTTGATTTAGAAATTATAACTGGTTGTGTTATGTGATTAGAAAATTGTTACTTATTACAATTAAGGACAGCCAACACGATTATGATATTCTTTTCTGTCTCTATTTAAAATGAAAATATATAGTTGCTGTTATAGTTTTCTTAAAGTTTCGTATAGCTGAAATAATATGATAGCAAAGAAGTAACTAAACACCAGATTGTAAAAATAAAAACATAAATATAACATTTCTACAATCAATATTATTTTCAACGGGTCTCGTCCTTGAATACGTCCTCGTCTTCCATTTCGGAATGCGTCAAACTTGTCATTGTTTTTACTTTATTACTATGCTTTACGAGCTTATGATTGCGAAGTAAATTGCTTCAATTTTCAATCTCATGACATTGAATATTAAATCAGTAGGTAGGTAGTGTATGACTAAGCAGGTTCAGCGAAACTATTCCGCCGTACCATGACTCAATTGGAAGGGTACAAGAATGAGAATGTGATTTAGGATAGTTATTTTACCTCTGATTGCTGTTTCGCGTGGTTCGTTTTGACTTCGTCGTGGTTAATAAATTAATTATTCCTCAATAAATAACGCGAAGTCTTTTATATAAACGTACGTTTCACAGGGGTAGATAATACGATACATATCGAAAGGTGATACCAACCTTTCACCAGTTATATCAGATTTGAGCTCTTTGTAGTGCTGTGTTGTTACTGAGTATAATCGGACATCAATAACTCAGTAGATATACTGAGTTGGGTGAGAACCCAAGATCATCATTTCAGCCGTAATTCCGCGATTTTCGATAAAAGACGGATAAAAAGTAATTTATGAAGTGAAATGATATTTTATCTGTGAAACAGAATATCAGTAGTTAGTTCAATAAAAGTACAAACCAAATGTAATAATTCTACTTATTGATAACATTGTTAAGCACAGTTTCCGTCTATCATAATTTCACACATAAATAAAACTGGGTAATCTAATATCTTCAGCAACGGAGCTGTTACCCAAACAAAAGGAAAAGATAATAGTGTCATGTTAAAAGGTAATATGGCCGTTCTATTAACAATAACTGGGAAGCAGATACTGATCTTAATTCTGGAATGAGACAACCTAATGTCATACACAAATTCACATATCGTTACCTGGAATGGGTACAAATATTGACATACATACCTTTGACATGAAATTAACAAACTATCCAACTTACCTGTGTTAGATAGGACACTTACGGTCTTCTCAAAGAAGCATGTAAGTTAAAATCACGCTAAATCATTGATGATTTTGCAGGCAATAACATTTTCTATATTATTATACTTTTAAGTATGTACTTGATACTATTTTGATTAATAAACTACACTATTACATAGGTATCCACTTTCATTTCAATAGCGTTTTGTACGATATAAACACAATTTGCTTAGGTAAATCTATGGAGGAAAATGAGTTCACAGGCATTTGTGCGTGCCTTAATAATCTTACAAAAACTACCAGTTACGAATGGAAACTCGTAACACCTTTATTAGAATGGATTAAGAGTGAAATTTGTATTTCAAGTATGAACCCCTTGCTTAGGTGTACTTGTTAGGTTACAGAAAATGTCAGAAAACCGGAACATGATTAAAATCAAAACTATTATTTTGTAAGAAGCATAAGCGCCTTTTAGGTACTTACCTAATGGGTAGTTGGAGACAGAAAACTTATTATTGATTTTAATTCAGTCACATTAAGTTAAAAGTCAAAATTTGATTGTGTTTTTCCCTAATTATGTACGTAAGTACAAATGTTTGATTGGAATGATCATTCTGAAACGATGAAAATGAATCAGAGTCTTCTATGAGACAACTGATACTTGACTGTAACTGACAATTCATCAATCATGCCTAGTACTTTAACAAAAAAATTCAAGCGTCTTCTTTGTTCAAAGTTACGCTTTGTTTCATTAACCAACTCTAAAGTTATAGTATTCAAACAATTTTTCGACTTAATAACTTCGGCGCACCAAGTTTGAGTAGCCTATATAACCTGATTGATATAATATTCAACAATGAAAAAGACTAGAGAATCAGTTCCTGTTTATACTATAAGTGTATCTCAAAGAAGGCGTGGTAGCCATCCATCACACACTTTCGCAGTTTGTTCATAACATGATTTCTTTTATTAACAACTACTCAATAAGCTTGGAGATTATGAGACTTGCGAACAGTGTTTATAAAGCTTTTGGTTGCTAACCAATTGTTTCTTTTTTTATTTTAGACTAGAATTCTTCTAACTTCATTATCATATCCCACTTGAAATCGGGCAATCGTCTTTTGGTCCTTATCGTTAAAAATTAAAAAGCTACATATGTATATAAGTAAAGCAGGCAGGCGTTGAGTTTATTACCTCTAATAATTTTGTGTGTTGTCTGTACAGGTCACACTCGCCAAGGGCTCCGTTGTCGATTATGCAAATTGAACGTGCACACCGACTGCATGCCGCAAGTCGGCAGGTGTCAGACCAAATCTCGACTCCTGCGCCGGCAGAAGAGTACTTCTGAGATAGAGTCTCACAGAGTATTGGAAACAGCCTTCGACGATGAAAGTAAGCTTTGGAAAAACTTAAATTTTAAATATTTTATATACATCACAAAAGTATACCGATTCTTTTTGTGCTAAGTAAATATGATTGAACCAAAACAACATTCAAATCTACAGTAAAACAACTTATCGATCATTTCAATGAAATTCTATCAGATATTTTTATCGAATATTGAAATGGTACAAACATGTTTGATTAATGTAAAATTTAATTGTAAGACAATGCTTTCAGAAGTTATGGTAAGTTCAGAATTAAACTTGAAAATCCCATACAGTTTATTTTTAGAAGTAAACTACACCTGTTAAAATAAAATATCTTCACGATAATTAATGTATGAGGTTGGAAAACAGGATTTTGACACTTTAAGCCACAAATAGATCAAATCATTTTGAAACTGAAACTGAGAACACAGCCTCTGAAGCATGCAAAAACACACAAAGATCATATCACGCATAGCTATGAACACAATCGGAAGCTAACCTCACGTTGTCCAGGGGTGGAGGACGGGTGGCTGCCGGGACAGAGACTTACCAAGATCTCATTCAAGGGGTCTGTCGAGTTCGATGATGATTTCGATAGCTACTGTGACTCGGGTACGGTATCAGACAGGAGTGACCCCTGTGCACCCTCCCGAAGCCGAGCGTTCGATATGACTAACAACACTCAACGATCCTCTGCCCAACTACAAAATACTGTACATAAACGGTTTACCTACTAACAAGCGAGTTCCAGACATGATACCACCTCGCGCACACAATAACAGTTCGAGTCACTAAACTATCGTCGTATAGCGAACGTGAATCTAATCGCATTTCGCTCGATGCTCAGAGGAGGAAGTGGATCAGACCTACCAAGTTCTGAAGCGGGCCAACGAAATTGGGAAGCCGGGCGGCGGCGGGGAATCGCGCGGGGGACCTGTAGTACGCGTGTCGGCCCCGGACGAGACGCCGCCCGCGCGCTCACCGGCGCGGCCCTCCGCAGGCCTGGCCGTGGCGCCGCAGCCCGTCTCCTCTAGCTCAGGTCTGGCGCCGCACCCGAGCTCGCTCGCTTCTCCGCTCGAGTCGCGCCGTAGGCCGATAGCCGAGCGCGTCGCAAGTCGATGCGCGGCGGCCGATCGGCAGCTTCACTCAAATTCACTCGTTTTCAGTAGTGTCGAGTTGTTTTTTGCACGCATTGTATAGTCGCGGGCGCAGGACGGGGGCGGGGTGCGGTCGGTACTGAGCGCTGCTTGTCGATAGGCGGGGCGACGCGGCCCGACGGCGGTGTGCGGCGGAAGCTGTTCGCCGGCGTCAAGAGTTTGTCCATGTGGGGCTCGCGGTCGCGCCGCGGCTCGCCGCAGCACCGGTCCATTTCCCTGCCAGAAAGTACGCGCCCACGGCTGCCGTAGCTCATCGCTCTGTCGTCTCACAGCTTTATTTGTCCCGTCTTCTGGGTTACGGTGCCACGTTTTCGTTGTGTGTTCAGTATTTTTTGTTCATTTATTTTTATTTCGCGATTGCAGTGTTAGTATAGAAAATAGGACTAAACAATAGTCGAAGCTCGGCAAGCACCTTAGATGCTTTATCCTGTCCCTGCAGGGTTCATTTACCTTTCCTGAATAGGTATTTACTGAAAAATTCAGTCAAGCGTCATATTTGATCCGAACATATCCTTTTTTCCCTACTGTTCTATTTTTATTTGTTTTATTGTATTTATTTGTATTTTATATGTTGCTTTTATTTATTTTGTTTTGTCCGCACATTGTCTTTGCAGAGACGGAGGTGACGACCACACGACCTTTCGGACAGCCCCTATGTTTAGTTAACGAAAACGGCGATCCACCGCCTTCAATTCTCAAGTCCACAGCGAGCGTCCGCAAGAAATGATTAGCGAGATAGCAAACCCAAGGGATCGAGATCAATAATCATATCGCCTCGTAGGCAAGAGCACTGACTCAGCGCGGCAGTTTGGCATGTCCTCAATAACCGCTTCTCGGATGTCTTTGTTATAACTACCCCGAAGCGCCCCGCGTACTGTGATATATATAATTATATTGTTACTGTTACAATAAATGACAAAAATTAAGCTTCCTTTTCTCTGATTACCCTCGAGCACTCTGTTTTACTCTTGATTCGGAGTCGTCTGTACATTTATCTGCGAGTGCGTTTTGATGTAAGTGGTGCATGGCTTAAGGCGGCGTGCCGATGTTTGCATGCGTTTTAACATCGGCAGTTACACACCTGACACGATACCTCTCTTCTCTTACTTGCACTCACTTGTCACTTGCCTTCCACGAGTCAAACTCCACTTCTATCGTTTCACGATGTATCAAGCTCACGTTAACCCGTAACTACCACGCGGAGTAAAACTTCACAGAACACGCCACTCTTCAAATACTAACCCTACCTACCTAACCGCTAATTGACTGAGGTTTCGTTTGGTTTCGCTTCCCTTAGGACTTAACCCAGCGTTTTATTTTAAAGTTACCCAGGGCACCTACGAAAGGAAAAAGTAGATCTAGTTTTGAAATAATTATAGACTGGCTCCTGTTTACTTGTCCACACAGGTTCAATGAAGAACTCGAAGAGTGCCCAAATGTTGAGGCAAGCAGACCGCACCAGTCCCTTACCTGGTACCGATATTGACATCGTATATAAGCGAATCCCCGTAGATTACTTCCACGTTGTTGGTTGAGACATACGTTGCATCGATGAACATTTGACAACAAACCTCATTCATGATGCCACATATCTGTTACTATCTGAAAGCTGCTGATGACAAGCTGTATCTGATATAAATAGATTAACGAGCCTCTAGTTGCCATTCAACTTTACGCGTCACAACTAAAGAGTAGCTTTCACTATAGTAGTGTACTTACTACTTCTATTTGTAGATGTTAGGTGTTTTTTTACTATCGACTTACTTTTTGCATCTCTATTCTTCTCTAACTTTGGTTCGCACTGCTTACGCACATTGAATTCTAGATCTATTTTTTATTTTATTTTTTATTAATATTATAGTTTGCTTGTATTCTTGATATCGTTGTTAACATACATACTAAAACAAAAAGACTTTACCCACAATCCTCAACAAATCTCATTGTTTTACTTGCGACCCTGCTATCAAAGCTGGAGAATACTTCACAAGTCCACGAACTTTGAAGTTGAAGATTGTGGGTAAGACAGTCTTACAAATATCAGTCTTACTTTTTGGACTCATTAAAATTCAGTTAACTTGGATACTTGCCCCACGAAACAAAAATTTGTTATCATTTCACCGATTAAGCTAGACATTCCTACGTTCCTACACTTACAAATTAATTAAATTCTTATCATTACAAAACTCATTACGCAAATTACAGTACATAAATACATTGACACTCGTTCAAAACTGAAATAATAACAAATGGTGTGGGTGAGTATTAGATTGTAAGCTCATACTACATCCATTTTATAGCGCCGCATTCTCCGAGACGTCAAAAGTTGAACCTTAGGATGAAGAGCTTGTCGCTGGACTCGCCGGAGTGTGGTGAGCTGAGACGGCGGCCCGGGCGCGACCAGACCTCGCAGGGCAGCCGCGTTCTATGTACGATCTGACAGTAATACAAACGCCTGGGTCCAAATAACCTCACGCTGCTACCATTTATTGCTTCTCAGAGACTTTTCTACTTGTCATATACTAAATATCCCAAGTAGCCTCCGTTGTCATGAATAAATGTTCACAGTAGTTGAATACGACACAGTACAGTTTCAATTACTTATCTATACTGCCATGTCACTAATTAGTTTCTTGGCATCGGATAAAGGAACACATAATTTGGGATAGTTTGTAAGATGACATAAGCATCTCTGCTTTACGCAAAATTCTCCGCTTTAACGCTACATGCATGCGGAGTCGCCACTCACAGCCTAAATGTCAGAAGAGGTTGATAGTTTGGCCGAATTTTGGTTCTTTGGACTCTGGTACTTGATGTCAAACTGTGTTGTAAGCACAAGCAATGTTCACCTCTAAAGTCTATCCCTCCGGCTTAGCTTGTGTGTGTTAGTAAGTTGTAGGTACCCAATGGTATTTATTCTGTCTAGACATTCTTGCAGTATTCGAGGTCGTTATGTTTTGAAAAATGAGCTGCTAACTGTGGATTTCTCGTACAGATTTGTGTACATGTTTATATTACTCCAATACGAACGTGAACAAAATTCCTAAGTAACATTGGCATTTAAGAAAATATCAAAATACAATCATGATCATAATAAAATTGTACTGTTACCACTCAAGATCATAGAAAAATCAAATTAATTAGTCATTTCAATTTTGTACACTCACTGCCAAATTATTAGATTATTTCCACGATCAAACCGTAAGTAAATTCTTTGGCATGCTATTTATGTTTTGTTTTTATTTTTCTAGGTAATTGCAGAGCAGTTTGCATGAGGCATGGCTTTAATAGAATTAATAACTACGCGATTCATAGTTATACTCGTTCATGTATGTTATTTTTTATTTGAAATATTTTTAACAGAAAAATGATGTTCGTAATAGTAAACCGAAAATTCATCATAGATCATAGTAAAGCTTTTATAAAGCGTCCAATAACGCTATTGTTGTCAAAGATAATAGATAACATAATACCCTGTGTAAAGATCACATATTCATTAGCCTTATCGATTTACTGATACAACATTGTTTTTCTGCGTTATTTAATAGATAAGTAGCTTTAATCTAATAAGTCTCTTGAGTATTTATGACCCTTTTAACATTGTGACGATCTGTGCATGTTAACACGTGTACTATCTGTGAATAACACTCATCTGTATCTTACTTGATTTTTAATAACTATGGTACACACCAGTTGTTAGCTTAAAAAGTGATTACCACTGAATATGAAGTTTTGTCGTATGCAGTGCATCTTGTCTAACACGATTTTAATTGAAAATATGTTGTTTGAAAGAGCTACCCTTCATAACTTAGAAATGTAAAGACGTTCACGTTTCAAAGCTAAAATCGTCTACTTATTCCAAGTTATGAATAGGTACGCTCATTTCAACGGGATTCGTTAACAATGACCATATTCTCATAAACATTAGCCAACTTTAAATTTTAATTATTATCTCAATCTCAGCTTAATTAACAAAGTAATCCAAAAGGAAACAAAACGGGATGAGAATAACTTAAATATGGATTCACAGTTGGCTAAAGTTTAAGGAACTTGGGTGTGCTAAGATGCTTAAGGTCGAGATTAAAAGACGTTGTTTAGCACGTTTTCGGCATCTCCCCATTCTTGTCGCACAATTGATTTTGTTGTTGGAAGACAAGGAGAAAGATATAGCCAAGAGTATGTGCTGAATAATATTTTAATTGGCCTAAGTGTGTTTGTAGGTATTTATAAACAGTGTTGACTATGTACAGCGCCGTCATCGCCAGTACACAGCCGAAGGATGCTTACCGCTCGAGTGGGACGTATGAGCAGCGTGGAACTACCTGATGAGCCAGACAAGAGCCTGTCTTCTAACAGCGCCAGCCCGTGCCCTTCGCCAGTCAAGCAGATGAGCGTGAGTACCTAATATTATCTATTAAGTTAATTTCTAAATCCTACGAATGCGTTGCATAATTCCATTTCGGTATAACAGTGCTGTACGCCGAATACATACACTTTACCTTCCTTGATCACAATTACCTCAACTATTATCCTCTACCGATACATTTTTGTAGCTTAGTTTGTGGGTTCTATAATTCTCTTTGTTTTTTCTTGTGGCCATTTTTCGTTTTTTCGTGGGTAAAACCAGAAAATAAAGATTTACCTACTGTTTACCTAATTCCTTATATTTCCTGGTCCGGGAACTGTCACACAAGGGCATTTCTTCTTCACCACACCTTCGTTACGGAAATAGATTGTATGTCAGGCAAGCAATGGGAAATAATGCATGGAAACACAAACAAACGCGAGTATGTACATAATTGAGCTTCTGTTTTACGCTAGTTTATATTAAAGAAGAGAGAAGGCCCATTGAGCCAATCGTTCGCAGAAAGTGCCTGTAAAAATGTTTGTGCTTTGCCTGACAAATAAAATAAATACTTGTAACTTAAAAACAAGTATTTTTTATGTTTCTATCACTTCAATAGTTCTATTTTATATTGTTGACAACAAAATACAACACAAGAGTAACACGTGTCTTACAATTGAGTTGCACTAAAGTATTCTACTATCCAATATGACAACCTTTACGCTTCAATTTTAACTTATCTATTGTGTTGGAGATTGTTGAGCTGTCACGCCCTCGCCCCCAGGGTAAAAAACAAAGTTCAAACACGATAACACTTTTACTGCCATCTACAGCTATAAAATTCTTTAAATAGAATGTATTGACGAAATGTCATGTACCTACTATACTCCACAGGGAATATCGGAGACATGACATGGAGATGTATCTCATAAATGTTTCAGGTCATCGAACTTACATATTAGAGTATGTACGCAAAAAGCAAAATACTTCACTGTTAAATATTCTTTTGTTAAAATACATGGATTCCAAAACGTATTTTCTAATCCACTAGCGTGATATGTTTTCTATTCATGAATCAACGAGAAATCTCGGATTTTTCTAGAGAAAATTCTTTCATTTCTTACGAATCGGTCTTTGACTACAATTCTTATATTGTATGCAATCTTTAAAAGTAATGTGGCAGACAAATACAGTGATTTGAAAGCAAATGATATGAAAGCGCAGTTGTGATTGTGGACTGTAGTAGCGACCAGAGTTGTAGCCTTGAACGTGTCATGTATATTTATCAAGATATTTTCCGTGCTCATACCTATGTATGTATAGGGACAAAGATACAAGCGACGTATTCAAGTATTATTGTTTCTACTTCTACAACTGTTTGGAATATACGTATTAGGTATATTAAATATAGTTTTTACAATTCCTTATATTCTTTATTTTTCGCCGCCATTGCCTTCTAGATCAAAATACATGTACGTCGATAATACAGACATACCTACGAAACGTCCCGATTCGAACGATTTTGCTCCGCTACCAATGATGTACAGAAATTAGCTCGATCCCAAACAGTGCAAATACCACAGAAAAGCATCGGTGCTCTTTTAGATACGATAGATGTAGATCGGTCTACGCATGATAATTTATTTTATTTCCTTTCTGTTAATTGTACCTTAAGCTTTATAAAACAAAATCAAAAAATTACCTGGTGTACTGTACATACCATTTCTCAACTTTCAGTTTTAATCAAACATATTTTATATATGTACGATCACGCCTTTTATCCCCGAAAGGGTAGGCAGAGGTGCACATTATCTACGGCACTTAATACCACTGTACAATGTAACATCGACTTTTCACTATTTATCTTGTGAGTCCCATGTAATAGGGGGTGAGCCTATTGCCATGGGTGAGGAATTGTGCCCGGTATGGGCACAATTCCAGACTTCGTGCTACTACTGAGAATAAAAAAAAAAACACAGTAATACTTTCCCCGACCCGGGAATCAAACCCGAGACCCCTTGCTGGGCAGTCGTAATTGCGACCAATCGGTCAACGAGACAGTCAAACATATTGTATACAGTAAAATGTGTTTTTTTTTTTTCAGAAACATCAACGCCTTCTGCCGACAAATCTGTACGTGGTTCTGTACAACTTCAAGTCACGTCATGCCGATGAACTTGACCTTAAGGCGGGCTACAAGGTCACTGTGATCGACACTTCGGACCCCGACTGGTGGAAGGGCAAATGTCTTGGAAAAATTGGATACTTTCCCTCCAAATACTGCACTAAGCTTCAAGCTGGAGAAAGGGCTTTGCAAGTCACACATAATCTTCAGGTAATTATACCTACACATTTTTATTATATAAACTGTATTATCCACGTAAAATCCTATGCCATTTTCTATATTAATCCAGTTTTATTGGTTTGTTTTTCACTGTGGTAATTTGACGGTCTAGCAATTTTCATGATTTATATGTAAAACTTTGAAACTTTAAAAAGCTTTGTGCAAATCGAAATAATAAAGCATATATATATTATTTGTAATCTTAAAATCATTTATTTATTTTGTTCCTTGCGTGAGGAACAATATTCACAGTTTTTTCTTGAAATAAATACAGATTGTAAGCCATATTCTTCTTAACAATAGCCCAAGAAGCCCAAATGCAAATGAATTGAGTACACTCGTAAAACTAACTTAATGAATGCAATTCAGCTCCATTGTATTGTATTCTGTCTTTGTGGCGAACGGAAGTCCGAGCGATGAAAACTCAAGGTTATTGTTGGTGCATTGTTTGCAGCCTACAGTTATGTAACACATTTGACAGTTGCATTGAATAAACGAAACTGTTTCGACTTCATAAGAAATATCAACTATTAACGGTGAAATGACATATACTTCGCACAGACTCAAATGAAAAATGAAGAAAAAATAACTGTCCAAATATTTAACAAAAGTACTAGAGTAGTATAATTTTAGATATAAAGTAGAGTAGCTTAGCATTTGCTCCCGAGACAAAAATTAGGAAGTTGAGTTTGATTAATAGACTCATATAGTATTTGTTAATATACACGATGCTTAAACATCTAAATGCTACATATTTACCCAGACAGCTAGTAAATAAGCTCGATCTCTGGCATGAAGCCAATACAAGATGCACCGCAATTCGGAAAATTTTACTGAAGAGTTATTGAGGACTCGAACTCAAATGGTTCTTAACGTGGACTTGTGACCCTTGTAAAATGTACATTCAGCAACTGCTGATTGTATTTTACAGTAGGTTTTTTATAATTTTGCATACCTACATATCAAAATAAAAAATAATAAAAATGTTAACTGAAGGGATAAGTTCACATTTTACAAAACATACAATAAGAAAAGTTCAAAAACAAACCTTCAAATGGACACCCAAAATTAAGGGCGATTCTCATTGACAGAAATCAGGAGTCATTCTGTGTTATAATTATGCAACGTATTGTTTCATAACACGTTTCGAAACATGGGCAGCAACAAACAACACGTGCTTTGCATCGTCAGTCTTCTTCGATGTTCGGTCCAAGTTTATGACGTCAGCGTATAAACTTTTTAATAATACACCAGACACAACCGGACAGTTCTTAGGTACACAGAGTTCATTAATACCTGTGATCAACCAGAGATTTCACTCTCAGTAGTGTATGAAATAATTCACTCCTTCTTAGAAACATGTAAACGTCGTATTCAATCCGCAGGTGTCTGATGGCGACACGGGAATGATGCTTCTCCGTGACCAGATCGTGATCCAAGTAGGAGAGGAGGTCGACGGCATGATGTTGATTCGCTCCGGCGACAACCGCCAGGCGGTGTGTCCGGTCAAATTTCTACAGGAAGTGTGACGCTTCAAGCTGCCCAATTTCGATTTTATGAGAGTAAGTTAAACAAAAATTATTATGAATTTATACAAATTACAACGTGAATAAACAAAATTATAAAATGTTGTCTATACATACAATCATATGATACTTTGTATAATACATACCCTGATATAGTAGGCTTGATTAGTTGTCAAGTGTCAGCTGCTAATGCGTAATTAAATTATCAATACTAATAACATCTAAAGCCTTGATAAGTACGCGTGCTACAGTCGGAGTACCCATACAAAGCTTACACTGTAATGCAATATCAACCACGTGCTTCACACCAATCACGTCTGCGGTCTGACTTAATGGGATTAAACAAGTGTGCCTGAGCCAAATCAATACACATACACAATCGTACTAATTTATAGCCGTCTACTGTCAATAAACGATATAAACTTCGTAATACGATTTGAAAATCACATGCATCAGAAGATAAATAGATTATAAACTTCGCAGTATACTTACCTTTCTTATAAATAATATTTCTGAATTTTTTTTTTTCAGAAACGCGGCTCCCTAACTGACGAAACGATACCAATACGATCTATACCAAAAACAGTTCGAAGTGCTCCAGTAACGCCATGCGACAGCGAAACGTCTACGTGGTCGGACCGGAATCGTAGCAAGCACGGCTACGACTTACCCTCAGGATATGCTACGAGCTACAGCAACTACGAAAAACCTAGCTATTCTTACGATAAATCGGGCTACGAAGCGAGCTACGAGGCTTCCACTTCTACGGCATCGGGGTCGCAAAGTAAAGGAAATTACGATTCGGGGGTTTACGAGAAGGATTACGACACGTCGTACGACAAGGCGGGATACGACGCGTCGTATAGCAGGGGGGCTTACGAAGGTTCTACAGGGTACGACAAGGGGAATGAGTCGGGGTACAAGCAGGGCGCGGGCTACGAGGCGGAGGGCGTGTGGTGGTGGCGGCGGCCGCTGGGC